GTCCTGGGCTTTGCCTGGGGACACTTTGGGAAACCAAAAAGTAGTTAGTATGCAAGTTTATGTTCGTAAATGCACAGCAGCAAATTTTTGAAATTTAAATTTAAATTTAATACCATGTTGTTATATATAGTGCATTAAATTGAAGATTTTTTTTTTTTTTTTTTTGGGAGAAGAAGTACGATATTCATTTATTTGGAATAAATCGTACAAAGCAGAGGATATGGTGCTAACAATGGGTCTCAATAATAAAAATCTTGTTGGGATTTTCAACCCAATCGAAAGAAAAAAGAGTGTCTCGCACCATATTAAGTATTAATATTATCCTTAAGAAGAATATTAAAAATTACTTCAGGTGGTTCTTCAAATCAAGAAAGTTGACTACTCAAAGTTAGGCCCAATCGTGCCAATCTGTGTGCTGCCGTGTTCGTCTCTCGTCGACCAAACGTAGCTTTCCATTGTGAAAACGAAGCCAAGATATGTCTAGCATCCTGAATAACATGCCAAAACTCACCATTCAAATTTGTTGTCTCGGCTTGTAATGCATTAATCACTACTGCTGCATCACCTTGTATCTCAACAGCATGGGACGTCACCATCTGTGCCAAAAATACAGCAGCTCTCGCTGCCATAATCTCTGCCATCTGTGCAGAAAGAACCCCCGGCAAATTCGAAGCCATGGCTTTTAGAGTATGAGTGTGATTCATACGGTTTGGTAATAATCCTTGTTGTCTCAGATTGCTATAAAGAAGTCTTAATATGTTTATGAGAGTTAATTCGACTTTGGTTTGGATTGAAACTTTGTGTTGATATGCTTAAGAATAGAACTCGTACAAGGATTTGTTCTTGTATTCCTTGTAGGATTATTATAGGGTAATCCAGATTTTGTAGTATAAAAATCACAAGCCCCTGTTCTCACAAAAACACGCTCTTATTGTTCCAATTACCTATAACTTGGAGAGCATTGAGTTTTGCAGAGAGGAGAAGGTTGTGTGCAGGTTTTCATGGTTTCTTATCCATGAACGTGTTTGCAGGTATGTGTTGGTATAATTGTTGCAGTTCTTGCACTTATATTACATACATAATTTAAGGATTTTGATTTGGTTGATTAATCCTTGTGTTCTTGGCTAGTGTATTAATCTTTTAAGTCTAGTTTAATCTTACATGTGGTATCAGAGCCATTGAATTTAACAACTAAATTCGATCAAAAATTGGTTCCTAAAATCTGTAAAAGAAATTATAAAAAAAAAAAAAAAAAAAAAAAACAATAGTGAATTGGTTTGGAGGACAAATTTGTTCAATTGGTTTTAAAGACAAGTGATATGACATCGTTTAAGGTATAACTTTAGTTTAATTTTGACTGTTGGCTGCATAAAAGGCAGAAGCTAGATTTTCATTATTTTTAAATTTTTACCGTTGTCAGTTTGGAAGGTGAGAAATCCGTGTTTCTCAATCTGGGGTTGAGAGAACTTTTTCATGCTTGCTTTTTTGATGATAAGTATAGTAATTTAGCAGTATACAACTCTCGTAAACATCATAATTCTGATTTTCGAAATTATTGCTTCCGCTGTGATGATTATGATGTCTGTGGATTGAGATAATTTTGGTTTATTAATCCTCCTTGTATTATTAGTGTAATGAATAAACTTGTATTCTGATATGCTAATTGTGTTATTAAGAACCATTGAACAAAGATCATGTTATATGCATATTGAGAATTTATGTCTGGTCCTTCATATTTATATGATCTGAGAGTTGGGTCATATCACATATTGACGTTAACTCACTCATTGTTCTATTGTTTCTCTTGTTTTATTGAAATCTGAATGAGAATTGTCCTTCTCTGGGAATTGGTGTCGATGGGATTCTGGCCGATGACTTTGGTGATGGCAATCCACATGGATGGGTCTCGAGCATTGATGGATAATTTGTTTCGTTGATTTGGAGCCGAGGAAGTGCATTCGGTTGACGAATATGGGTCCAGTGATGCATTCGGGTAATTCAGTCCACTATTTCATGCATGATTAATTGTTCTCTTATATGCATGATTATAGTGTGATGAGTTAGAGCATGATGAATTAGGGCTTTTGTTATTTCGAGTGTGCCTGTTTATTATATATATTGTGAACGCATGATTAAACTTGAAATCCCTATATAGATGCCAACTTGTGATTTATGTGAGATGTTTGAAATCATCTTTTACTGCATAAAATAAATAAATTAATTAATTAATTAATTAGTGTAGCATTTGGTCTATATATATACTCTTCTATTTTTAAAGAGTCTATGGTTATGATTAAAAATTGGTCTTGGTGGAGGATAAAACTTGTTCATATACAGCACCTATTGTTCTATTTTGTCTGTTTGGTGTTGAGACATATATGATGAACATCAATTTGGGATGGAATCATTTTGACTGCACGTGTACTCCATAAATTGGTATTGTCTAAATGAATTTTGGCAAGTATATATGATTAATGACTAGGTGGTTCTAAATATTAAACTAATGGAATTTGGATGGCATTGTTCCTATTTATGATACATAAACTAAATGCATCAGTTTTGGTTCGAGTATCATGTAGGGAATTTCTTGTTAATTGAATATGTACATGGAGATAGCATTTGTGCATATACGTTGCATATTGATGCATGCATACAAGAAAATATATGAACAGATGAATGAACATATATATATGTAAAATATGTTTTGGGTAGAATCGTTATTGTTCATATATGGCGGATCTGTATACATTGGTGTAATTTGGGTTTTATTTTGTAATGATCTTATTTTCATTAGTTGACCCAAATTAGATTTTGTGGCGATATATATTAATCTTAGCCTCAAATATTTACTTGTATGATTATATAGATCAAGCTATAAATTTTGAGAATTTGCTTGTGTCATCCATATACAAGGATGATAAACAAATTAGCTTATGTGAGCTATTGTCTATATTTTTGTACAACACAAATTGACATTGCCGAATGCATATTGATTTAATTTATGAATTCATAAGGAAGCCTGTGTTTATTGTATTGTGAAAATCATGGAGTTTAAGATGCATGCTTATTGTATATGTATATTTGTGATTTCATTTGTGATGCATGCTTCCGCTATTATGTTTTGATTGAAATCACAAATAGGGAGGAAGATGAACTTTGAGTTCTCCAGAACAAATAGTGGTCTTGATTATCTCGTTTTAATCAAGACATTGTTGTGATATATATCCAGACATTATCAAAATTTGGTTGATCTTGCTTAATGGATATTGAACTAGTTACGATCAAATTGAATGCAAAAATATTGTGCTTGCTATTCTGATTTTGATCATTGTTGAAACTGGTGATTTTGGGTTTATGTGAGATAAGTTTTTCCGAATGGATTGAGACTATCTTTTGATACATAGACTATTTGCATAATGGTTTAGGTGTATATGACTAAACTAAGAATATGCAATACATTCTGCTTATGCTTAAGTGGGAGAATCATATGTTTGAATGTAAGCATAAGGCTAAGAGTATTTAGGCCGGCCATTATAATTCATTTGGATGCTTAAAACCAGTTTTATGGTTTTATTGAAGCAATTATTATATCGGTTAGCATTCAAAAGGAAACGAATTTGGTTTTCATATGGATTCTGATTAGTCATTCATTGTATTGGAATGATTTTTTAGTTAATATAGTTGCTATTAACTTGTACTTAACTTGGTTGTGTTAAGTATGGCCTAGAAAAGTGGGAGCAAATTGGTTTGGTTTTGCTATATTGGTTCACATAATTACAAAGTGCAAATTAAGTATGTTGTGACTTTTGAGTTAATTCTGCAATGTAACAAAAAAGATTCTTGAGTTCAATACTTTAAAATGCATAGGTAAGTTGTATGTGAGGTTAAGCTTTTGTTATCCAAAAGATTTGGTGATATGATAAAGGTGTTGATTGATATAATTGTGCTATTCATATAATTATGAATAATTTTATGTTGACACCCTATTGTCAAGAATGTTTGGTATTTTTGATATCAATTTTGGGCTATATGAGTGGGAGTAGACGTCTTGGTTTACTCTTGAGCTTAGATATATACATTGCTATGAACATGAATTGGACATTGTGATTTGTAAGTTAAATCTGTATTTTGTGTTGCAAAGGCAATTATAAATTCATTGTTTTGGTTTATGTAAGCTGGTTGTGTCTATGTACTAGTGTGTTGAAGAATGACTTGTGTGATCACCTTTATATTGAATTTGAGATGATTATTCACTGTTATGAATCATACTCAAGTGGGAGAATGTTAGAGTATGAGTGTGATTCATACAGTTTGGTAATAATCCTTGTTATCTTAGATTGCTATAAAGAAGTCTTAATATGTTTATGAGAGTTAATTCGACTTTGGTTTGGATTGAAACTTTGTGTTGATAAGCTTAAGAATAGAACTCGTACAAGGATTTGTTCTTGTATTCCTTGTAGGATTATTATAGGGTAATTCAAATTTTGCAGTATAAAAACCACAAGCCCCTGCTCTCACAAAAACACGCTCTTATTGTTCCAATTACCTATAACTTGGAGAGCATTGAGTTTTGTAGAGAGGAGAACACGCTCTTATTGTTCCAATTACCTATAACTTGGAGAGCATTGAGTTTTGCAGAGAGAAGGTTGTGTGCAGGTTTTCATGGTTTCTTATCCATGAACGTGTCTGCAAGTATGTGTTGGTATAATTGTTACAGTTCTTGCACTTATATTACATACATAATTTAAGGATTTTGATTTGGTCGATTAATCCTTGTATTCTTGGCTAGTGTATTCATCTTTTAAGTCTAGTTTAATCTTACAATGGCTGCCAAAAAAATCCCCCAGTCGTCTCGGATTTTAACACCAATCGCTCCAATCCCATCCGGCTCATTCCACGCACCATCAAAGTTACATTTAAGCCAACCTACCTCAGGTTTTTTCCATGGCTGTGGAACGGAAATCTTGCTGCCCTTCTTTACTTCATGCCATTTTCTATACTCATGGAGCCATGCTTGGGTTCGACAATGGATATCCGCTACCCGTCCACAGAGATGAGTTTCGTTCCTTCCGGATGCTCCAAATCAACACCAAAGCAAGATCAAAACTTTGCTTCGAAAGTTCTCCCGCCATTTGAATCATCCAAATTTGGAATCCTCCACTTCCCATGCCTCCCGTTCTCAAGCTCAACGAACTCGAAAACCAAATAGAGACCGACCTTGGACACTCAAGTAACACATGTTCAACCGTTTCCCTCTCACACTTGCAAAAAATACAAGTCGCAGTGGTGATAACTTTCCTCTTTTGCAAGTTCGCTTGAGTCGGTAAAGCATTCGTACAACACCGCCAGACACAATTCTTTACTTTCGTAGGCACACAAGCTTTCCAAAGAGCCTTCCATAGCCATTTAACCCCTGCATCCATTTTAGAACTTGCAGGTCCCGTCCCATAGTCCTCACCGCTTGAATGAGCCACATGATAAGCAGACTTCGTTGTGAAAGTACCATTCTTCTCTTTAGTCCAAATTAAAGTATCCGGAGTCCGGAAATAACTAAGAGGGATACTCAAAATTAGTGCCGCTTCCTCCTCACTAAAAATGCTATTAACCAAGTCAGTCCATATGAAACCCTCATCGTCCATTAATAACCCATTGACCCTAGTGGTAGGCGCAACACCCGTCGGAACTGGGCTTAGAACTTTAAAGGACTGTGCACGGGGTAACCAGCTGTCCCCCCATATTCTAACCTTCTCTCCCTCGCCGACTCTCCATCTCGAACCTGGGCGAATAATGGCCCTGGCTTCCGCAATACTACGCCAACAATAAGATGCAACTCAGTCAACAACCGATCTTATAACATGAGAGTAAGGTGAGGATGTTACTTAAACTCGTCGGTTAACAGTCAACAACCGATCTTATAACATGTGAGTAGGGTGGGGATGTTATTTAAACTCGTCGATAAACAATCTTATAAGACGTGAATTAGTGTACGGTGATGACGTTCCATTTGATTGCGATCGGTCAAGCCATTAGTAACAAGGTCACGGAAGATGAGTTAAAGAATGCACAATCAAATTGCACTTAAAACGGCTTTGGTTAGTTCTTATGCTGGTCTTTTTCGGTGATTGATACAGGCTGGCTTCCAAGTTATTTAGCAGATTATGGGGTTCCTCATACGGTCTTGGTGTGGACAGCACTGTCTTATGATTTAACTGGTAAAGTTCCACATGGAGTTCCTAGGAGGCTTGTTTGTCCGTTTCCCTGGGACCCTCAATCACTCTACCAGTGGACAGTGGTCAAGGTATTGTTAGATTTAGCGCAAGTCTGGTAATCATTTTGTTTTTACCTTTTTCCCTTCGCCTTTAGCTGGAATCGAAGGCTTGAAACCGGAGTAATTAATATGTAAGTATATCCATCTCCCATGTTTAAATTGCAGGATGTGCCAAATGTACCCGTCATGTACATCTTCGCTGCATTCATGCCGACTGTGATGATAGCGGGTCTATACTTTTTTTTATTTTTTATCACAGTGTAGTATCGCAGCTTGCACAAAAGTAGTTTAATCTTCAGAAACCATCTGCATACCACTATGACATGCTTCTCTTGGGAATAATGGTATTCTTTCGACTTCAAATCTTCTTTTGCTTTTCCTTTTTCTTTGTAATCTATATGTTTATAACCTGCTGCAACATTTTCAATGTTGCAGACATTGATGTGTGAGTTGCTTGGACTTCCTCCTTCAAATGGGGTTCTTCCACAGTCCCTTATGCACACCAAGAGTCTTGCTGTTCTAAGGCGTCTGGTGATCTGAAAGAAAACGGTAGAGTGCCAAGGAATGCATGAAACTGAACGCAACCAACTCAGAGTGAGTAACCTGCTGCAGTCACTCTTTGTGGGAGGCTCAATATTCGCAATCATTGTAATAAAAAAATTGCTACCTCAGTTCTTTGGGGATACTTTGCCTACATGGCGATTGATAATCTCCCAGGTAATCAGTTCTGGGAGAGGCTCTTGCTACTCTCCATCAGCTCTAACCGACGTACAAGTAAGTTTCAGAAAGTTCATTATACTGCAATTTACGAGTATTTAGTAGCTTATCATAATCTTGTTTCGTCTTCTAATTCTGTAATTTTCTTGGACAGGATTTTGGAAAGTTCTCATGCTTCATTCATGGAGTTAGTACCGTTCAAGTACATAGTTGCATTTACGCTCTTCCAACTCGTGTACTTCCTGATATATTTCAGAGTGACATGGATACCTATAGCTTGAATATTGTTCCCTCTGCCATTCTTCCTTCTATAAGCATAAGGGAACATTTGCTGCCCAGGTTCTTTCATCCAGCCCGTCTTCAAGAACTCGATTCTTGTGAGTGGGAAGAAGTTCCCTGTGATCCATATGTAAGTCTCTTTTACTTTCTTCTGGCTTGTATGAATGTGTTTAAATGATTCTGATTCATGGCATTGAAATGTGTGAGCAGGAAAAAGTACCACCCGGACCTGGAAATGACGACGGTACAGATGATTTCTATGATGCTGAGATATTGGATGAGATGACAAGAAGCAGAGGAGAGTTGAAGCTCAGAACCAGCTTCAGTAGTGAAGACTGAAGACAGGTTTTCTCATGTAAGAAAAAATCACCTTCCATCCGTCTTTGTTTAATCAATTTTACATCATTTTACACGTTTCCAATCGGTTCAATGACATATTGCAATGTAAAATTGTAATATGCAAAAAGAGTATGCAAAAAGGGAAGATAGACATGCCATCTGGGGGATGATTTTCTGGCCTTCTGGATAATTATTTCTCAGAATCACCAACAAGAACAAGATGATCGCCGTCTCTAACAAGCTCTATATCTTCAATTTCAGCTCTGTCTTTGGTTAAAACTTTTGTGGCTGAAAACTGGAATTTCTTGGCACCAAGGTCAAGTAGTTGTTGAAGGGAGTCAGGCAGAAGCACAAGCTTCGCAGCAGTTTCGCCTTTTTCAGGGCAGCTAAGTGTCACTCTGGCCGGATAGCTGTTCCTACTTGTGCTCCTTGTCAAACTGCCTGCAGATGCGACATTGTCTCTATCTTTCTCACCTGCATGTTTTCAAATTCACCTTGTCAAAACTTTTCATCACCTAGTGTTCAAAAAAAATCAAAGTTCGGTTAAAGGCCTCAGTTTCTAGTAGGTCGAGTAATGATTTACTCACGCATGTTTACTTATAATATTATGGGATTTACAAAACATTATGTACGTGATTTATTAAGAGAAAAAAATGAGGAAATTATCTCATCTTTCTAAGAATTTATGTAGAATTTGAAGATATATGCTTACCGGTATTAGTATTGGCAGTTGACATGAAACCAAACAGTGAATTGCGAAAGCTTTTATCCATTCTAAAAGTATTTTCTGATGTCATATCTGAGTTGGATGGCCTGCCATCCCGTGCGTAGGGAGGTAATGTAGGTTCACTTCTGAACTTCCCAGGACGTGATAGTATCGGATCCTCTGGCATAGGAACAACAGTTTGTTTCTTGCTTGGTTTCTTACTCTCCGATTTTTGTTGAAACAGTTCAATTATTTTGTCATGTCCCTGATGCTCTGCCAAAGCCCTAGGAGTCCATCCGTAGCTATCTGGCTTGTCAGCCTCAGCTCCTTGTTCCAAGAGGAACTTAACTATCTCTACGTTTTCTTCGCATACTGCCGTGTGAAGTGCTGTAGTCCCATTGTTCTTGGGCATGTGTTACATCACCGTTATACTTGACAATGTATTTAAGCAGCTCCAAGTTGTTTTGCTCAACAGCAGAACAAGCAAAATTTCCCACATTGCCAGAATTTATCTTCGCTCCATTGTCTAAGAGAAGTTTAATCAAGGACTCATGCTTCCCTGATATTGCTTCCCATAGAGGAATATTTCCTTCCGAATCTGCATGCAAAGTAACGAACAATTGATTCAGCGTGACAATCTCATACCACATCTCAAATAAAAGGTCACCTAAATAGAAAGATAGCACACCAGACTGTCTGACAAGAAAACATGTTCGTACCTTGTATATTGGGATCGGCTTCATACTCTAGAAGTAAAAGGGCACAACGTTCATTTCCATTAGATGCTGCAATGTGCTGTTGAAACACAAAAGAAAATAACGCATACAAAGTAAGCACCAAACTCTCAAATTCAAAGGCTATCGCGGACAAAATGGTGTCTGTTTGCACAATAATGATAGAGTATGCGCACCATAGCTGTTCGTCCATTATCATCCATCTCATTTGGATCTGAACCCCGCCTGAGCAATTGATGCAGCAACATGTCATCACCCCTCTGTGCAGCAAAGCATAAACTAAGAGGCAGATCCATTCTACCGCTAGCCAGCACATGCTCTATGTCCCTCAAAATTCCTTCTGCCAGCGGATTCTTCATTTCTTTCAAATGCTGCATCAATATGCATAAGAAAGACGCAAAGAACTGTTATCAAAATTCTGATTCCCATATATTAAAGACTACCAAAAATGATTAACGTAACGTACAAACCTTAAGAAAATTGTTCATGATTATCGTTCCATCTCCAACATTTGCTTGAACAAGGTTTAAGAAAGCTGTACGGTTCAAACGCAGAAGCTGGGAGAGTCCTTTCGTCCGAACTGTGACCATTTGAGGCCTGTAACAAAGCACACCTATTTCACCAACAACGTCTCCTGTCTTCACTTCATGAACAACCTGCAGTCATTCAATTCAACAAGAAGTCCATCAGTCATAGACAAAGCACCAAGTTCATGTTTTGGAAGACAACGTTGATCACATATTTTATATCATTAAACTTGCCGGTGTTGCTCCATTCCTATGCATAATAAGTTCCTGTTAGCAAGTTGCAAGAATCAGAAGCTAGTTTTCCCAATAAAAAGAAACCAAAGAGTAAAAGAAAGGTAATAGGTGCCTTGTGATTCAAGTGTAAAGAGGAGTTGCATGACTGCTATTTTCTGATTCTTACCACAGAGCCGGTAACCACGATATACATGTCAGTGGGTGCTTCATTCTGCAAGATTACAACTTCTTTTGGAGGAAAATATTCAGCCTTCATCTCAGAGACCTTAAAATTCAACCACCAAAAATGAAGTTAGACAAAGTTTATTTCTTACATATAAGATTGCAGGAGACTAGAACGACAATGCTGTATCAAACACCGCCAATTAGTACCAATAGTGTAATCTTAATAATTACCAATTGGAAAAGTAGATCTCTTGATACACCTTGGAACAAGTAGACACTATCAACAAGTGGATAGAAGAGATAATGAGAGATGCTAGATCGAATGGCTTTAGGGAGCGCATCGAGAGCCTCTTGCTGCTGCAGCCCTTCTGAATTAGTTCTGTACTTCAAACACAAATGAGCAAGCATCTGCTCGTGCAGGTGATCAGGTATTTGGTTCCTACGAGCAAAACTTGTTGCAGCTTGAATAGTGTCTCTCTGCGAGTCCAGAAAACAAGTCCAAAAAATGGGAAACCAAAACATGAAAACTGCTATACTTGCAAACTTGTCAGAAGAATGAAGTTCATATCTAAAATTGTTGAGTTAAACTTTACATAATTTAGTAGTAAGAAGTATAAAACTCGTGTGAAAACAAAAGCTTGTACTTACAAATTGTCTAGTTCGAGCAGTTCCATGGACAATCAAGTTGGTCATATTACCGATCAGGTAAGCTTGCAGCCCAAGATTGAAGAGCATATAGAAGATATCGAATATCATCTCCTGTGAATTTACAGGATGAAAATCCCCATAGCCGGTGGTTGTGAGAGTGATTATGGACCAGTACATTGAGGTCACGTACCGGTCCCATAAAGTCAATTGTTGAAAGTTTTCTTCGATAAGCCCAAACCAGGTCCTTCTTGGGTTACGATAATGCACAGCAAGGAAATAGAAGAAGCAGCCTGCGCAATGAACTGTGAGGAGTGTAACCTACAAACACATCAAAAGCCTGATGATCATGAGATACACATCACAGTTATATTAGACAATCACCTCTCTTTCAACAAAAAAAAAAAAAGACTAGATATTAGTCGAAAAGTACTCACGAAAATAAGCTTGCAGTATCGAACCCAAAAATAGCTATAATTCCTGTCCTTTTCCAATCTAGAATATCAGAGAAAATATAAAACAACATGAGAGCTTAATGATCAGATCCTGCAAATGAATATGAAAAATATAATCTGCATTGCCTTTGGATTAAGCTGACTTCAAACATGAGTAAAATAACGATGAATGCAGTTCACAATTCAAAAATAAATACAAATGCATAATAAGATTGCTGTGATGGAACTTCTATTGATGTAATTTGTACCTGGAAATCATTGCACTGACTCTTCGGAGACGCCAAAGGCGGAGGATATTGAAGTATCCGTAAGTCTCGAGAGGAGGAGGCAGAACACGCTGAGCAAGTTCCGAAGGGATTGTGGAGATAATGTCAAAGGCCAGCCATGTTTTGGCATATCTCAGAGCGATGAGCTTGCGGTTGTCAATGAGGAGATAAGTAGTTTTATCAAGGTAGGCCACAAAGAATGTCAATACAATGTCGATAGCGAAAAGTGCATTGACAACATTATCAGCAATGGCAATAAGTCCTTTTGCTCTGTCCAAGAATCCAAATTCAAAGGGACACACCCAAGCAGTGTAGAAAACCAGGAGGATAAGAAATGACTGCCAAAGTCTGCAAATTAAAAACCAAAAGAAAATGTTATACTCGAATAATGTTTTCTTTTTTTGGTAGGACGATATTCTAAATTGCTCTGATTTATAGAGCGGGGATCAAACTAAGTGCAAGGTACATTGGTTGACCAAGTGGCCTAACGCACATCACGCAATTATTCATAAAACAATAATGGAACTACAATTAGAAAATTAAAGTCTCCAAAACAAAACCAAAAAAAAAAAAAAAAAAAAAAACCATGAACGATTGAAACATCATTTAAAGAGAACAAAATTGGGCAATAAATTCTAGTTCTTCATGATCTTGTGCCGCCATGAATTTATACAAATACAGTCCAAGATTCAAACACAGCCTAAATTTAAAACTTGCTACGTGCAATTCATATCAGATCAACCCAACTGATAACACACATGGACGTGTAAAAACAACAAGAAAAATTGAAAAATTGCTAGAGAGAGAGAGAGAGAGAGAGAGAGAGAGAGAGAGAGAGAGAGATTTGTCACTTGTAATAATAATTAAATGGGGAGATGATGAAACGGCGGAACTTGTGTTTGGGACGGTTTGGAGCAGTGGCGCCAAGAGACGGCAAAATGCCATCGATGAGGTTAAACTGGCTGACATGGCTGCCGTCCCTCGACATTTCTTCCGCCTTCTCCTGTTTTCCTCCACCACACCCTTGCCCGCACATTGACATCGACATTGCCATTGACCCCTTCCTCATTATTCCCACTTGGTTCAGCAGTCATCATCTTCCATGTTCCTCTCCCTTCAGTCCCTTGAAGCTCACTTTTCCTGTCTCTCTAAGATTTAACGCAAAAGTTCTCCTCTTTGGTATCAGCAATGTTGGACAAGAGTGAAGACCCACCACGGAAGGAAAAGGAGAGAAGCAATGGAAGCTGCTAACTCTCTCTCCCAGTCTGTGTGTGCCTCTCTCTCTCTCTAGGATTCTTGGCTCACTTTATCTCTGTCTCTCGGTTTCTCTGTGATTTGTTCTCTTTTTTCCCGGACGTTACGTGGAGAGAGCCTTTGTGTGTTGTAGTGTGTACAACGTTACACGACGTTGGCTGAAGGACTAACACAGATCAAGGGCTCACCCTGATGATCTCGTACAACTTAACCGTAATAAGAAATTACTATCCCCACTTTATTATTATTAGACGATTCCACAGTAATATGACTAATTATGAATTGAATGTAAAACCAATTGGTAATATAAGGAGTGGCCCAAACTTATTTGTAAATGCAAGATTCCTTCTTTCCTCGATATATGATTTATACTCTCGACACACCCTCTCAGATGTGATGAATTTTTAAGTCTAACACGTGCACAACATAAATTGTGCGATGTTCAGCACATGTTGATGTTGGACTTTACACGTGGGACAACATATTCTGATACATGCAAGATTTTATTTTAACTTTTTTCTTTCTTTTTTAAAATGTAGAATTCATACTCTCATCAATAACACGTATATTAGTAATACCACAAGACCTCCCAATTGGCGCTCCGCGCCTACGCTTTCATTTGACAACAACTAAGAGCTTTTATAAAGACGATGAACAAATAGTCCATCAATATGGTGCTTTTTTTTTTTACAACAAACAATATTATTTACACTAAAGTGAGGAATGGGCTTAGCCTTACAATGGATTAGTAATAATATGGTTCAAACTTTCCACCACTCGACCGTAGCGCACTAAGTGGCATCAATACAGTGTTTAAGTTACATGCCAATTGCCCGTTAATATACATGGTGTTCATCAGTGAGTCCGTGAGTGGAGAGAGAAGGTAACCTGCTCTAGATCTAAACAATTATATCAAATTCATCTAGACTATAATTCAATTAATATTCTGCTATTCATATAGAAAAGATATCGATTGAAGGGAAATGAAATAAAAGAGTTATTGGATCTTTTAAGGCAAATGATAACCCTACATTATTTTATTTCTCACACATTCATGTTTAATTTTGTTCGTTGATGGTATTTGATTTGTTCAAATTAATGACTAAAAGATGTGAGAGGCTGAAAAAGGTGTGTGAAAATCATTTTCCTTTAGGAAAAATAAAACAAATTGGACACTAAAAATTCTAAAACCCACGTGCATTTGTTATTAATAGTATACTTAAAAGTTGTGGTTCATTTGACTTATAGGACGTGCATGACCTAGTAATATCACGTGACGATAAAACTATTACACTAAAAAAATATTTTTCTTGAGTGTGATTGGAGAAGTATATACACATAAATGCTGTACATGTATGAATTAATTGAAGGCAATAAGAATCTGAATTTTGAACCAATGGATGAATGAGATATCAGTGTCAAGTTCACCTTTCTCTTTGTTTTAAAGCATCGTCTACAAATTAAGTCCATTAATTTGTCTTTGGACAGGTTCCTGTAAACTTTAATTGCATCAGTGATCTTACATGAGCCAGGCATGCATCGAATGTCAACGATTTAAGTAAGAAGTTTGAATTTAAGTTTAGATTGGTGAAGGAGATTTTTTTTGTTAGTATATTGATGAATTTAACATAATATTTTATGATCTTATAGAATGGTTGATTTCTACTTTTCAAGTGCTAAAGGGAAAACACATAGAATCCAAACTAGTGTTTGGGTCTGAAAGAGGATAATTTGAACAAATATCTTATTCGTTTGAAGAGTTAAAACAAAAAAGTAATAAGATCATCTGCCTTTTGATCATCTTGTTTTAGTGTTCAAACAAAGGGTCGTCGATTTAAATTTTTTAAAATATTATTTCTAAATAAAAATCTAAAATGGTTTTTTATTTTTGTCAAACGATAGATTTTTGTTAGATTAGCCATCAACGGGATTCAAACCCATGATGTCATGTAAGGGCTCAGCTCATTTCCACCACTGTGATAAAGAGCCACTTGCTGAAAAGCTTATTTAATTTCTTGAAAAAATGACATAAGTTTATCAAGCATATTAGTGCAGCAGTGCTTTTCTTATCAAAATTGAAAGTGATAACAAATTCGAATATTTTGGCTGACCATCTATCCTCGACAAGAAAACAAAAAAAATCAGCAATTAAATAAATTTCAAGAGAAAAGTACAAGCAATAATTTGACTGGGTATGAACCATTAAGAACAGAACCTTTTTTTTTTTTTTTTGAGAAACGATAGTACTATTAGATTCAAGTAGTTGCGGGTTACAAAAGAGCCATACTATGGCTGAGGAGTTTCATCGACTAGTAAGTCCATAATGAAAAAGGTTGGGGATTCAACCCAATTACAGTCATTGGAAAGCGAAAGACCATAACGAGCAAGTCGGAAGGCAATACCATTGGCTTGACGGCGAACATGGGAGACTGCAGTGATCGTTAAGAGCGGTGCTTTGATGTCCTCAATGATATGACCAATGGAGGAAAGATTAACAGCAAAGTCACGAAGTGAGTTGACGATCTGAAGCGAGTCGAATTCAAAACAATAGTTATAAGAAACCCTAGTGGTCACCCAAATCATAGCCAAACAAACAGCGAGGGCCTTTGCATGGAGGGGAGAGGGAACATCATTCAGTGAACCGGCCATAGCTGCCACAAAAAGACCATCAGCATCACGAGCAATAAAACCAAATGGGACCCATGACCCAGAAGAATCCCAAGCCCTATTGATGTTTATCTTTAGAGAACTAAATGGAGGGAGGTTCCATGTAATCAAGGAAGGGGCAGGGCATAGGGATCGAGACATCTCCAAATTGATAAAGTCCTACCACCAAGACAGAGTTTGAGAGACGATAGAATATGAAAGATCACACATACCCTCCCAAAGCAAGTTTCGTGCCTTCCAAATAACCTAACAGATCATCAGAGGCGCCTTAAAGTGGTTCGGAGGGGAGTTCCTGGTGACATTAGCGATCCAGTCCATGAATGATAAGGGAGTGAGGTCCCAAAGGGGCACCCCTATGAAGGACGAGCCAAGCCGCTTTCGCGAAAGGGCAGAATCACATGAAGTGGATCACGGATTCAAGGGGTCCATTGCAGAAGACATAAAAGGAGTCAGAGGCGATAAGCCTCCTGACCAAGTTGACCCTGAAGGGAATGAAATCATGCCAAAGACTCTAAACACACATTTTCACCTTTAGCGGGACCTTAGCACCCTATAGCCAATTCCAAACATCCTAGAAGCCATAGAGGTTGAAGATGCCCCACCGTTGGGTGGATGCAAGTAGCCTTGAGCAAGGTGGTACGCGCTCTTGATAAAGAACTTCCTTGATTTCTCAAAGTGCCACATAAGGGTGTCGGGGGGAGACCTGAAGCTTAAGGGGATAGTGCGAATCAACCTAGCTTCCTCGGGTGAGAAGATGGAATTGATAGGTGCGGTGAGCCAAGATTTCATGTTGACATTGATGAGGTTGCAAACCATAGACCGATTACACTCCGAGGGTCTAGGAGTGTGGGGTCTGAATGAGGAAGGCAAAGGTAACCATGGGTCGTCCCAAACCTGAATGTTCAAACCATTACCAACCTGCCAATGGATTCCAAGGGAAAGGATGCGTTGGGTTGAGTAAATACTCCTTCAACAATACAAGGCATCAGGATTGACCCAAGCATCCAAGAACGACGAATTCAAGAAATACTTGGCTTTCAGCACCTTCACCACTAAAAAGTTAGGCTCAGAGAGGATTCGCCAATCTTGTTTGGCCAACATTGCATAATTGAATGCCAAAATGTTACGAAACCCAAGTCCACCCTTCGCCTTTGTAGCACATAGACGATCCCACGAGCACTAATGGATTTTCTGATTCCCCACATCCCCATTCCAAAAATAGGAAGCAATTAGATGATTGAGATTATCACAAAAAACTTTTGGAAAGAGAAAGCATCCCATAGTATAAATCAAGATAGCTTGGGGCCATGGTTTTGATAAGGATTTTTTTCCCCATCGAGCTCAGAAGCTTCCATTTCCAAGATTGGAAGTGTTTCCAAAGTCGCTCTTTGATGAAACCAAAGTAATTACTTCGGTTTCTTCCCACTAGCATAGGCATGCCCAGGTATTTATCATGGCGTCCCACAACCCACACACCCAGTAGCTGCGATAGAGTAGACCGAAGGGGGGGCCTTACGTTCCTGCTAAAACAAACTTCATTCTTGACCATGTTAATTTTCTGACCCGAGGCAAGAGTGTAGTCAACAAGAACATTGGTAATGTGACGGCCTTCCGATTCATTTGTGTGGAAGAAAATCAAACAATCATCTGCAAGTAGAATATGGCTAATCGGTGGAGCATCCGAGCAAAGAGACACCACGAATCAGACCATCCTGTTCCAAATTTGAAATTTTGGCCGAGAGGCCTTCGGCATAGAAAAGCAACAGGTAAGGGGAAAGAGGGTCTCCTTGACGGAGTTTATAAAAAGGGATGAGATAACCTCGTGGGGTACCATTGATGATAAATGAATAGGAGATGGAAGAGACACAAGTCATTATCAACTTAATCAACTTCCGAGAAAACCCCAATTTGGTAAGGACATTGTGAACACGAAAGATTCCTTGAAACAAGAAACAAGAATAACGTGTACAAAATAATATTTTGTGTTTAATGATTTTGGGGTTACGATATCTTTGTAATTTGATCCTCTGATTCTATCTCCGTAAGATGTAGATTTGTTGATCCAAGGGCCGTCGATGCTTGATCTTGGATGAACAGTTGTAAGTTTCTTCAAGGGCCTTCGTGGCTTTGATCTTGAAGGTTGATGGAAGTTTTTTCAAGGGCCTTCGGGGCTTGATCTTGAAGGTTGATGGATGAGCGGATCTTCAAGGGCTTTTGGGCTTAATCTTGAAGAACGATTGGATGTGTGGATTTGTTGAGGTTGTTGATCCAAAGGGCCGTTGGGGCTTGAGCTTAGGATGAACGGATGATGAATGATGAACGCTTTCTTCAAGGGCCGTTGGGGCTTGATCTTGAATAATGGTTGTGTGGATTTCTTCAAGGGCTTTTGGGCTTGATCTTAAAGGTTGATGGATGAGCGGATCTTCAAGGGCTTTTGGGCTTAATCTTGAAGAACGATTGGATGTGTGGATTTGTTGAGG